TTGAGCGTTGGTAATGTGAGGAATGTCAAGAACATTTTTTATTCTATGTATACAAATCCTTGAAAGTACTGATCGTGACTCTGTTGAAGAACACTAATTTGAAAGTGATGCTGATTCATCGATGAACTATCTTCATGGCACGTTCGGACAATGTTGGTTAAGCTGTTGTTACTATAAGTGACCTCTACATCGTCATCGTGACTGACCTTTAGTACTGGTTTTATGTCACGCCAGCTATACTATATCTTTCAGTTATTTATACATATCCGTGTTATATATTCAAACAAAATCTAATTAATTCACTTTTTTTAAGGACACGAGATTAACATTATATGAATCAAGTGGAACCCTGGTAGAACACACACCGTCGATTCCGACCGTTAATCTGGCCCCCCTAATCTGGACCATTTTCCACGGTTGCTCATAATGACGTCCACACACTACTCGGTGTGCTGGAAAAGGATAAATCATTGCGTGTTCATATGGAACTGTTCAGTTCGAATTATCGGGGTTATACTGTATGAAGTATGTGTAACAACGCCTCCCTCCTATGGGCAGTAGAAGCACAATTCCACATTAACCATATATTGGAGTATTTCCACACGGAACACAAATGGCTGAGCAGAAATCGCAAAAATGTTACATACATCGAACACAGATCACCAGTTACAGAAAGGGGTTACGTAGCTCCGACATAGTTCACCCGTAACGTACGCGTCATATGGCTCCATCAAACCTCACCTGTAACGTACGTGTTACATAGTTCCATCATAGTTCACCCGTAACGTACGTGTTACATAGCTCCATCATAGTTCACTCGTAACGTACGCGTTACATGGCTCCACCATAGGTCACGTAACGTACGTTACATGGCTCCAACCTAGTTCTTCCGTAAGGTACGTGTCATATGGCTCCACCATAGTTCACTAATAAAGTACATGTCACATGGCTCCACCATAATTCATCCGTTACCTACGTGTTACATGGCTCCATTAAAGCCCATCCGTAGCCTACATGTCACTATAGGCTCCACCAGAGTACACCCACAAAGTACGCGTCACATGGATCCACCAAAGCTCACCCACAACCTACATGTCATATGGCTCCACCATAGTTGACACACAACGTACGCGTCACATGGCTCCACCAAAGCTCACCCGTAACCTACATGTCACGTGGCTTCACCATAGTTCCCCCATAACCACAATGTAACTTTACTCCACTAAAGCTCTCTGTAACCTACATGTAAAGTGGCTCCACCGTACGGTTCACCCGTAACCTATAGATACGGCTTCGCTAAAGCTTCCTGTAACACAACATTCTACACGACTCCATCAATGCCCCTCCGTATCCTGAGTATTACGTCCAGGTTGCCGTTCCACTAACCGATCTTAGCCCTACACCAATCGTAAACCCCTAAAATCCCAATCTTAGCGTGACCTTAAGATCGGCATACCGTTCCACTAACCAATCTTACCCAAGTCAATCGTAAAGTTAAGATCCAAAGTCTAAGTTACTCATGACCAACTTCGGATGGCTAAAATCAATCGTAGAGAAACCAAAATGGTGGTTTTCCTATTCTAGACAGACAGACAGATATTTTATTTCAGTCTCACCTCACATACAATACATATATAAATATATATTTAAAAAATAGCATATAAGTTAGCCACCCTTTAAGGGTTATGAGAGACTAATGTATTAAAACATTATAAATACTAAATAATAAATAATTATATAGGTACATACAGTGTAGAATCTATCCGTATAAAATATGTTTTCTTCTTTGCAAGATATAAAAGCAGGTTTTGGCACTGAAATATACATGGTGTTTAAAAAGTAAAACTAACTTATCATCATCACAAAGATCTTAGAAGACATTTTCATATAAACGTTCACGCAAATCATCATACATAGGGCAATACAACAGAACGTGTCTTTCATCCTCAACACTCTCACTGCACTGAAAACATACCCTCTCATTCACATTCACATTTGTACATCTGCCGGTTTCCAAATGCAGAGGAGCAGTACCTGATCTGAATTTGGAGAAGGCAGAGCGGTAAGAACGGGGCGTACTCATACTCACATAACTTTCACAGCCATACACATCCTTAAACTTTCGATACGTTCGTAATTTATTACCTCCCGTTCTACCGCTTGGCTTGTGTAATAAATCATACCAATCATTCACATACTTCTGCATACAAATATCTCGCACCATCTCGCATACCCGTTTAACACTAACATCAGCTTCCACACTAAGGCCCCATTCATTTAACCTTGCTTTTACTCGGAAATTCCAATTTCTCACACATCCACTCGCACAACTCTCCGACCATATAAATACATACTTATTTATTCTAAAAGACATTTTTCTAAAACGACAGTATTGTCTAACAATACATATCCATTGTCTGACAATTGGAGGGATCCATCCCATGTCTCCATTTCCATATCCAATGTGAAAAATAAGAGCGAGCATTTCACCGTGAGCGTCCCCTAAAATCCCCATGAAATGAATTTGTATATTTCTGTGATACAAACACCACTGAAGCCTTACAAATGTCAGGCCAGTCTGACCACTGTCGTCATGGGAACACAACCGAGCGAGTCGGTGTAACACATTTGTACAACAATATTGCAACGTCATAGTTAAGAATAGGGACAGCCGTGAAGTGAACAATCTTCTGAAACAAAAAGATACAAATATGTTTGATTTCACGTGCGCTTATTTGGTGGGGGGTTCTAAAGGCAGGCCGCGTGTTATTCAAGACCACTGACAGATTCTAGATACATTATAGAGGATGCCTCGTCACGCCTTGTTTATTCTGATTGACAGGGTTCAGGCACATAATAAAAGCTCTGACACAATTGACATTATTTAAGCCCAGACTTAAAACCTGTTTTCAGTATATTACTTATAATCTCGGCTGTAAATACTCTCGTGTAAATTATCTGTACATAGCGCTTTGAGCATGCCCCAGGATGTGGAATAGGCGCACTATAAATATGTATATATTATTATTATATTATGCCTGATACCCAGCGTTCACACACACTTGCACCTGAAACCAAGGTGCTCACTACCCTAATATTTTGTTCTAGATTTTTTCTCCACGTTTACACTTGGTTGGAAAAATACCCATGAAGGTCTGGATTAGAATATTGAACTTCAATAACCCATGCTTGTCGTAAGAGGCCACTAACGGGATTGGGTGGTCAGGCTCGCTGTCTTGGTTGACACATGTCATCGGTTCCCAACTGTTGATCCTCATGCTGTTGATCACTGGATTGTCTGGTCCAGACTCGATTATTTATAGCTAAGATACATAGCGTTCACTAACATGAACGCTCATATTAGTGAACGGCTATGCATCTTAATTAGCTAGATTATTTACAGACCGCCGCGATATAGCTCTACTATTGCTGAGTGCTGCGTAAATCTAAACTCACTCACTCACTCACTCAGTTGGTTCGTAAACTACTTCCATCATTTGCTAGACTATGCAAAGGGAAATAACTCGTGCCTTGCATACCTCTATCTCTCTAACGAAAGAGTCTCCATCTAACCTTGGATCGGATCGTAAGATCGGGACCGGCTACGATCGGCCTAAGATCGGTTAGTGGAACGGGTGTAACTTTTAGCTAAGACGATTGTAAAATTGGGGTAACTTTCTAAGATTGATCTTAGTAAAGATCGGTTAGTGGAACGGCACCCAGCACGTGATGATTCCACCAATACATGAAAAGTAAAATTACAAAAGCATTTTTAATGCACATATAAGGTAGCTTACATACATGAGAGAACCTACAATATAGTACAGTCGAGCACCGTTGTGTCGAACTCTGATAACTCGATATCTCGGTTGTCTCGATATAACGTCTCGGTCTCGGCAAAATCCTTCATTATTTATCATTATTCAAGCTCTTTTAACTCGATACCTTTCATGGGCAAGTATCCCTCTGAACTGAGGTTGTTTCGACACGTTTACACACGGTGCGTCATGAATCAAAGAGATGCGGTAGTGTAAACTATTTAGGGCTAATTGAGTTGAAGGTGCATTGTCACTTGTTTGTTGTTTAATAAGGATTAGTTAAGAAGGATTTAATTAGGAAGTACTCACTGTTACGGCTAAACACTACTGATAACGGATTATAGTTTCGAATCAAGACATACTGAGAAGCGTTTTGTTTTCTTTCATAGTGATGTGATGATATGCCCAGATCGGATGTCTCGAAGTTCGGATAACTCGACATTTGTTCTTGGGCCCATGAATATCGAGACAACGGTGCATGACTGTATATACATGATAAACATTAGCTCGTTAAAGAATATGATTTACCGTGATTTATTTGAGAATAACCAATATTTCTAGAAGTTGGTAGTATAGAGATAACAAAACTTTTGGTTTGGTATAGATTCTTATACAGTTGGATGCTTGACAATGGTATTAGAATGTTATCCATTCCCCTGATGGGGGACATCAGAAATGGGCTTCACACATTGTACCCATGTGGAGAATCTCAGGTTTCAACATTCAAGGCCTCGGTAAAACATTCCAAAAGTTGTATGGCAGACATAAGGCGGACATTTCAAAATGTTATGTGCAATGCAATTCCTTAGTTTGACTTGTACCACACGTTCTCAAATGTTTTCAGATGAACAATTGAATGATCGTACTTACAGACCGTACTAATCATATTGTCAGAACTGTACAATCTACTCAGCTTTTAGATTTTTTATGGATATGGAAAGGGTTCTATTGTCTATCCCCATAACATCTGTCGCTTTTTGTTGTTGTTGTTGTTGTTGTTGTTGTTGTTGTTGTTGTTGTTGTTGTTGGCAGGGAATACTAAAATGAAGCATAACGTTTCACACCAACTTGGATTCGAACCACTAATTTGCAGATCCAAGGTGAGCTACAGCACAAACCTTGCGGAGACACCGACGACTGGGCCACGTGTCTGTTCACTAAATTATTGATAAGACGTTATGATGCATTTAATGTACTTTATTCATTCATCATTGCGAATCCATGATTCTACAGCAATCGAGTGCCAACTTGCCAATTTGCCAACTTACAATAGGTGCCAACTTGTTCCTGTACACATCGTTGTACACAAGGACATAGATAGATGGTGACAGCGAATTCGTTAGCGGACGATATTACTAGACTAAGTGTGTATTAAGTAGCTGTGATATAATATGTAGGTTCTCGGCTCATCATTACAGTTCAAAATGAAATGTCATTTTTCTTGTCTACAGTTCATTTTACAAATAACACAAACTCTCACTTCTCTTTTCTTGAATCAGTTCTGTTACGATGGAAACAGCATCTAAACACAACTCAAAACGCATGATTCTTTGAATATACTGACGCTTTTACGTATAAATACTCATAAAATCAATTTAACACACACCAGTTATTGTGCAAATGTGTTAAAATGAAACAGCGGTTTCAATTTTGGTTCACCAATGTAGTTTTGATTTCAGTTCCAACAAATAGTTCAGAAGCAACTGTACTTTCATGGAATTTACACCAATTCCAAAATGAGCCCCATCCATGCTCATCACACCGGAAGTTAGATTATATGTGTCGAATATGGGTATATGATATTTCCCTAACGCCGCAGACATGCGTTTGTTAAAGGCTGCTACATGGCTGTTTTCTTGTTTTGGCATCTTTGGAGATTTCATGATACCAAATTTGTGAGTGGCAAACCAAATCAGCTTGGGCCATGAAGCTTTCCTCTTTCTGATCATATCTATAACGGGATATATATATTCATTAAACACTAAGTCAAAGTTAAAATGATCGTGGATTCCAATGCCAACTAGAATCACTGTGTTTTTTCGATGAAGAAACGAACGAAACTTCTCATGGAACTGTTTCGCCTCTGAGGCACGAGGTATTACAGATACTTCCACATTCAACGTACCATTACAGAGGGTTGCTGTTCTGATAAGCTTTGATTGACATGCTTTGCCCGAGAATGTGTACATTCCGTCGCAAGAGATATCTGAAACAGAATCAGAACAATATTGTTTCACGTGACTCACTTGGCATATATAAAACCCCTCCGTGGTGAAGTGGTTAGAGCGTCCGACCGGAGAGCGGAAGGTCGCGGGTTCGATCCCCGACCGCGTCATACCAAAAGACGTAAAAATATGGTACTTGTTGGTCCCTGCCTGGCGATCGGCATTAATGGGTACAACAAGGATTGGTCGGCTCGGAGTCAGTATAATGTGTCTGAGTGGGGTATTCATGCTTCACTGCAGCATGGTATCTCAGTGGGCTAGCACTATAAATCCAGCTTCAGTCTGGGCTAGTACAAGCAGCCGCACATACACATACACACGCATGCACGTCATCATATGAGCGAAATATTCTCAAGCACGACCGTAAACCCAATCACCTCACTCACCTCACCTCACCTCACCTCACCTCACCCTCAATTAGCATATGCTGATAGGTCATGTTGGGCGTCTTATAAAAACTTACTGTACGTTTTGTTTTATACCTCTTTTTCCTATCATAATACGGCGGGTAACATCAAGAAAAGGTTTATATATTGTATTGTGTGTCCACATTGACAATAAACTCGGATTTTTGACATGAGTAGCCAACGCTTTTATTACCTTTTATCATATCATGTTGTTGTTTGTTATTTAACACTGCACTATTCAAGCTTTGTGGCGGCGGTGTGGAAATAATCTGGACTAGACAGTCCAATGATCAATAGTATGAGCATCGGTAACTGGGATACGATGATATGTGTCAACCAAGTCAGCAAGCCTGACCACACGGTCCCGTTAGTCGCCTCTTACGACAAGTACAGGTTGCTGAACACCAATTCTAACCTGATATATCGTCTCAGAAAAGAAAACCTGATGTCTTCCCATGCGCCTGACCATTCTAAAAGCCTGCATTCACAGGACAGGGTACTGCATGTGTACTGCCAATCACCATAACACATGACGAAATGTTTTGGTACAACGACAGTCCTTAAAGAGAACATTGTTTCCTTAGGAAGGGGTACTTGACGTATGTGTTTAACAAAAAGAAAATCATAATATGGATTACAGTATGATTAGCATGGATGGGTACCTACAGTGACTGAGCATAAAACTATACACAAAACTAATATAAACGGTGCTATAACCGGACCTGTGAGTCGAACACAAAAAAACACAGCTTGACAGCATTACAGTTGGAACAACGCCGATTCCTCTTGCCAACTCAGCCAAAAACCTTGGAGTCAATTTGTCTCCCAACTAACTATGGAGGCCCACGTCAGCAATATCTCCAGAACTTGCTTTTTCATCCTAAGGAACATCAGTTGTATCAGAAAACACCTTACCACCAGTGCTACTATAACACTCACTATCTCTCTCGTCATCTCACGTCTCGATAACTGTAAATGCCTCTTGATTAATGCTTTCAAATTTCTGATCAACAGACTTCAGTATGTTCAAAACATTGCCGCACGAATTGCATCTCTAGGTCCGAGGCAGGCACACATCACTCCACTACTGAAATCTCTTCATTGGGTTCCAGTTCACTTCCATATCAAGTTCAAGCTCCTGTACCTTCACCTTCCAGTGTATCTCCGGACCAGCTCCAGTCTCCACAACCTTCTTCAGATATACCAGCCTGCTCGAACTCTCAGATCCCAGACTAAGTCTCTCCTTGTTGTCCCCAATACAAACACTGTCCGCTACAGTCACAGATCATTTGCATATGCTGCAGTATATGGAATAATCTGCCCAGAGTGGAATAATTTGCCCCAAGAACTCAAAGACTCTCACACTTTGTCATCTTTCAAATCCCTACTAAAAACATTCCTCTTCCGTCAAGCTTTCCCTAACTTTTAATATTAAAACCATATTGTGCGCTTTGAACATCCTTATGTTTGGAAATAGCGCCATATAAATGCACTATAATAATGGCATGGAACTTTCAAAGGGATGCAGGTTATGATATCAAAGACCCTCATTTGATGGGTGTTGAAGGATCGGGGATTGGTTGGAAGTGGACTGTATCCATTTAAAAGTCTTGAAGATAAATAATAATACTTCAGGCTGTTGTAAGAAATAGATCTCGTTTTTCTGTGGTGAAAATATAATTATCTAAACGCACAGGCAAAATTAGACATTACATCAAACATCTGGTTTTACAGTGGCACAAAATCCCAATCCCCTTACAATGCATTGGTGAAACTAATGACCATGGCAGAGTTCAGATGGACAAACATCCTAAACAAGGAAATTGACCAGCTTCTCCAGGCTAGGTGAGGAACAAAATGGGGTTTCACGCCGTACTTAGGAATATTTCGCTCATATGACGACGTGCATGTGTGTGTATGTGTGGCTGCTTGTACTAGCCCAGACTGAAGCTGGTTTTGTAGTGCCAGCTCACTGAGATGCCGCAGTTTAGCATGAATACCCCACTCATACACATTATACTGACTCTGGGCCGACCAATCCTTGTTGTACCCATTAATGCTGAGCACCAGGCAGGGACCAACGTGTACCATATTTTAACGTCTTTTGGTATGACGCAGTCGGAGATCGAACCCGCAACCTTCCGCTCTCCGTGCTGACACTCTAACCACTACACCAAGGAGACGGCTTCTCCAGACGAAGGGTCGAAATTATTCACAACATGTTGTAAATGTCTTAAAAGTTGGCATTTAGTGAAACATTTACAATCAGTATGGTACACATATACATACCTCCTGGTTTACCAGCTCTGAAGACCCTTTTACTGTCATAGTTGTTCAGCAGTAGCAGGAGAGCTGTGTACAGGTGGCGCATGAATGAATTCCCAATAACAGCTATTTTCAGACCCTGTAGAAGATCACACGCCTGCTGAGCCGTGAAGTTCTTCACCTGACATCGGGAATCTTCAGGCTCCCATGTTGAATACTCTGCATGAATCTCGTTCCGAAGGTCGTAACAGTTCGGACATTTACAGTCATTCGGGCTCTTGTTTCTACACCTATTGACATAGCAACATGGCGTCGCACCTTCTGGGTTACACAGTGCACGAATGTAGTAAACATTTTCATAGGCCACGTTTCCACATTTTCCGTCGCGTCTCTGCATTGGCTTTGGCACGCGATATCTGACTGACTTCAGAAATGTGTCAATGTTTACTCTTTCTTGTGCAGTCAGAGTTCGCTTCCTCCATCTTCCTCTCATCATACCTGTATTTACATCCGGGCATCCAGGGCTCTCAGCTGACTCGCTAAAGTCTACTTGTTTTTTTGCTGGTACAATGAAATCATTCGTGTCCAATTGAGAATAATAGTTTGAAGCCACGTATTCCACTACAGTCCAGACCATGAGTGTTGAGACTATAGCAATGCTATACCCTTTGTTTTTTTCCATGATTCTGCTGAAATAACAAACAAATATACATGTAGTACACTTCAGAAGTTTTCAGTGCAAAGTGTGTAAGTTGCTTTTGGTTCTACCTGTCAGTTAGTCTTTGCCCTTTTCTGTAAGCACCTGGTGTCATCATTTGGGTGTATTTGCCACCATATAACTGTCACCAATGTTTGGCCTTTACTGTAGCGATATGTGTCCTTTAACTTTTTCAACATTTGTGCTCTTCATCAATATCTCTATCTCTTGACTTTCTCAAGGCCAAAGTCACACTGAAACAAGTCCCTCATGACATGATTTGTAGATAGATTCATTCTAGAAGTACAGCTACCTAAGAAAGTTGTAAATTTATAAATGAGTAAAAACAAATTTAGATACCATATTTACCTGTTTGCAAAGGACAGTAAAATAACTAGAATTTCAGAGTTATATATGTAAAACTAGTATGAAAATCTAAAAAATCTTAACTATGAAAGACAAGACCATATATATATATATGGGTCAGTTGCCGAAGTCCAATGAGTAGACCGCCAATAACTGAAGGTAGATCACCATACTAGGGATCATGGGGACTTACAGTACATTTGCTTCCTGCATAGACCCTAGCTGGATTTACACCATCCCTTCAACTGTTAGCAGTTAGGCAAATCTAGCCATACATGCAAAGAACACATATTCTACGATTAAAAATGTGGTAAGTTTAAATTTCTATTTACAAACTATTTATCAGATTTTATCGAATAATTCTAATTTCTTTTACAAATTCAATAATTAAAATATTAATTAACATTATAAAGATCCTTCGCTGTTTTGACATTGAAATATTTTTCCCTTGTGATGGAAAAATCAATACAGTCAGGCAGGACATGCTTGGTCGTGATTCTTTCATCACAAGGGATACACAAAGGAGGATCCTCACCTTTTAATAGGGATTCATGACTATATATACAAGCTGCGGTATGGCCAATACGACATCGTCGCATGATGACCTCTTCAAATTTGTTGAGTGCTGCTTCAGTAGCAAGATCGGCCATTGTGTTACCAGAGATTCCAACAGGGCTGGGTAACCAACAGAGGACGAGGTCACATTGGCCAGTAGCAAGATCATTATATAACTTAATAATTTCTATTAAAAGTGGGAGTTTACAACATAATATTATGTTTTTAATCGCCTGAAGGCAAGAAAAAGAGTCAGAAAAGATTGTATATTGTTTATCTATAGGGTGTCTTTGAATATATTTAAGAGCCGTTAATATGGTGTTTGCTTCTGCTGTACAAATAGAACTGTTATCCGGTATCCTAGAAGATATTCTTCTGGATCCAGTGACAGTGGCACAAGCAGCTGCGACACCATCCTTGAACACATATGTAATTAAGGATTTGTATGTATTATATTTACTTTTTTAATTGATTATATTCTTGTTTATATTGTAATTCAATAGTTTCTGATTTTTTAGACTTAGTCAGTGTTAGTTTATCTTGTGGTCTCACTAATTGCCAAAGAGGAGAAGTGAGAAGACGGGAAGGTGATATATTTTCCAGTTCAATGCCGGCAGCAGAAATGAATGGTTTAATTCTTAGCGCAAGAGGCTAAACAAGAGAAGGCGTTTTGTTGTACAAAGTTAAATGCAGGGTAAGAATCGTTAGAATATAGTTTTGTAATATATTGTAAATATAAATTTATACGTCGTTGGGTAAGAGAAGGCTCATCTTCCTCGACGTAGAGACTATCAACAGGTGAAGTTCTAAAAGACCGAAGACAAAGTCTTAGACCATAGTGGTGGACAGATTCAAGAATTTTAAAGCAGGCTCCACCATATACGATGGAGCTTTAATCAAGCTTCGAACGGACCAATGAACGATATAGGTGTAGGAGGGTAGCTTGATCCCCTCCCCACTTAGAATTTGAAACGACTTTCAACAAGTCAAGTGCCTTCAGGCATTTATTTTTTAGATATTTGATATGCGGAACAAAAGTTAAATGGGAGTCGAAAAGTAGGCCCTAGAACTTGGCCTACTTGACAACTTTGATGGGAGTGTGATTTAGAAATAGTTCTGGGTTCTTATGCGTCATATATTTTCTACAGAAGTGTATACAAGTAGAAAATGGATACCATTTTTTATTAGTGTGTGATTATTATAATGACTTAAGCATTAGATATAGTGCAGAAAAGTTTTACAAGTATCCATCTTTACAGAAGTTCAAAATGTTAATGTCATTATGTCAAGTTATTAGAAATACTGCTATGTATATTTACTAGCAAATGTAAAACGTTCCGCACCCTCATGATTGTACCCTGGTTATCTGTTGTACATCCCCCAAGATAAAGCCTGTAACGATTGTTGTAATAATGGGCCTATGGCCTACATTACAGTTACAGTAAGACAAAAAGACATTGTGATAGTTTTTACTTAGAAAATGTAAAGCCATTTTCAAGACACCATTTATGTATTTTGTTTAAAACACAACTGCAGTTTCCGTTCAATAGTATGGATATGTTTACCGCGACAAGAAATATTAAAATCATCCACCAAAAGTGATAAATCGATTGAATTATTTAAAACCTTTGATAAACTGTTGATCGTGACACTAAACGGTGTGACAAACACAATACAATGAAACTCGTGAATATTATTGGTATCTTATTCACTCGTTTTATAAATATGGTATTACACGGGACATAGTTTAGTATTCTCTATATTCACTCCTTCACTAAACGGCGTAAACTTTACTCACTAGGCGTCTTTAAACCGTACCCCCTCAATTACACTCCAATGTCGCCCTGACGACGACCTTCGCAACACGGGTATATCATATATCAGACGGTGAGACAATGCTATAGCCACCACGCTACCCAACTGCCCTCAAAACCTACGAACTCAACACCTACTTGCTCTGTCAGACCTCTCTACAAGCAGTGCGTGTGTCGTTCGACATAGCGTCTAGACACGGGGAAAATAGCAGTATTAAAGGATATTTAATGTTTTCGTGTTATTGGCCGTTTCCAACACTCGAAGTCTTTTCAATTCACCATTGAAAGGTCCTAGCAAGTGTCTCTATTGTGTGTGGTTTAAAAGCGGTTTTTGAGAACAGACCAAGTAGGTGTCCTCCCATTTGTGAGAACTCCCAGTTGTGAGACACATTAATTAATGGTTCAGTGCACATAGGTGGTGTTTCCACATCCCTACAATGAAAGTGGGATCAGCCCAGCCCAGTACCCACAGGAGGCATAGTTCATTGATGAGTTGATTAATGAAATAGATTATCAAAGATTATATTTACACAGAAGAAATAGTTCATTGAATATTATATTTATTCAGAAGAATGTGTTATGATAACACATTTTTATTGACTATTATGAAGTTTGAAAGTCATTTTGGTTTAAACATATTTTATTATTTATGAAAATGAATTGGGATTGGTGAAGTATTACTGCTTATGTTAACACCGCTCCCATGCAACATAAAGTATGAAATGGAAGATGTGACGTCATCGATATTGACTATTGCATAATATATATTTTAAGTACATATAAATATATACAGATTACATCAAATGCAACTATTCTCTAAGTAGTCATAATTAGAGACTTACCGTTGTGTGTGTCTAACAAGCTATTGTAGGAATATAAATCAATCAGGAGAAGGTTGTTGAGTTAATTTCAGTATTTCCCTGTGAAAATTTGAAGGTTGTGTCTTGATGAACTAATCGTGGACGGATTCAACTATTTTCTGGTTTACACAAGGAGTAAATTCTTTGTTTCCGTTAAAAAAATTATCCACAAGAGCAACATGGACTGTCTATTAAATGTCTGTTATACTTATCGGCGTTTGGGTAGCTAGATTCGAGCCTGAGGCGGCAGTGAACGATTTGACAAAAACAAGAGCCATAATTAAGATCAACATAAATCTTGTTCTCGGTTTTTGTAATTAGGTTTTAAAATTATTTGAGACTGCATGACTCAAATGGTAGGAACACGTCACAATTTAATTCTGGACTCACAAAAGTCCAGAAACTCTCCGCACTGTGGGCACTTTCTGACAAGGGATTTGACCAAATTAAACATGCAGTTGTTATGAATATATGCCAAGGATGAAAAAATGAAAAAGATTTTTTTCGAAAACTTTCAATTTAAACTCGCTCGCCCATGGGCAGGCCCATGGGCGATGGGTGGCCCATGGGCGTGAATGTTTAATTTCGACCAGAATTCATGTTTTCGAGGTTGTAAATGAATGAGTGTATGTTTGTAAGCATCATGACACAAATTTCAACTCATTTTGACTTAATTCGACTAATTTAGACCGATATTAAAAAATCTCGCCCATGGGCGAAAAACATTTTGGCCCATGGGCGAGAATATTTACTTTTACTCAAAATATATGTTTTCCATGTTTTGGAGGTTGTAAATGAATGAGTGTATGTTTATAAGTATCATGAAACAAAATTCAACTCACATTGACTTAATTCGACTAACTTAGAGCGATATTAAAAATCTCGCCCATGGGCGAAAGATAGGTTGGCCCATGGGCGAGAATATTTACTTTTACTCAAAATACATGATTTTCCATGTTTTGGAGGTTGTAAATGAATGAGTGTATGTTTATAAGTATCATGACACAAAATTCAACTCACATTGACTTAATTCGACTAATTTAGAGCGATATTAAAAATCTCGCCCATGGGCGAAAAACATTTTGGCCCATGGACGAGAATATCATTGACTTTTACTCAAAATATATGTTTTTCCATGTTTTGGAGGTTGTAAATGAATGAGTGTATGTTTATAAGTATCATTGAAACAAAATTCAACTCACATTGACTTAATTCGACTTAAGAGCGATATTAAAAATTAGCATTTTGGCCCATGGACGAGAATAACCTACATTTTGGCCCATGGACCTTTTACTCAAAATATATGTTTTCGGTGGTTTATCCCTATTATTATAAACATATTAATTATTACTTTAGCTCCCACCTACCCTGTCGGTGTTAGCCACAGCCAGAAGCCGACGTTAAACTCATAATCATCATCATATGTAGTCACTAGGCACTTAAAACATTAGAAGTAATGCCATGAAATGTGGCTCGTCAATGGTATGCGTGTACGAACAGATAATATCAAAACATACACGTCAGAACAGTCAAAATTAAGAAATTGTTGAATATGAAATATTACTGTTAATTTGTAATTCTTGTAACATAAACAGTGTTGTGAGAGCTTAAAAATGTAACTGCATTGAAATATGTCTTGTCAATCCTATTGACATTTGCCAATAACCACTTCCAAATAAAATAAATAGTCCATGCTGCTTCAGAACAAATAAAGGTCAATTAGGGAGCCCCAACTGGGTAATTAAGGAGAGAAGTCAATACACTGTCACTTCCTGCCCAGGACGTCACACGTCACCACTCGGGAGCGAAGGGCCTTGTCAAACCTCCTCACAAAGGAAAAAAAAGCATCAAAACTGTGTTTTTATTCTACGTGACACTCGGTATGTCGTCAAAGTATTCATTGTTGAATAACTTCTATCGTGGGCAACCCCACACTTGCGAGGTGTACCTACCCAGGTTCGCACGTTTCGTTTTAATATTTTGTGATCAATTATTTTGTAATTCCCGTCTGCCCGTCACGGCTATTCTTCGCCCGAGGTTTAAGGGAGTGAGTCTATTATAATAATTGTATTTTTATTGTGTCGTTTAACGAGCTGGACATGGAGTGCTGTTATCATGAATGTTATCATATATTAGTGGGATGCATTGATAGTAATGAAAACTTATAAGAAGATAGTGTACCTCAACATACAAACCTATCCCGATAGCTCTCATCGTCACTCTCATGTCAATCCATTGTGACTGTTGCAGTCCTCCTGTACATCCTGTATATATAAGCAAGTTGGGTTTTTAATTTAGGATTTATTATTGCTAAACACACATTTAACCGAGATGAAGAAGGGTGTCTCAAATTCCACGTATGCTTTTGCTCTCATAAGTTAGACATCCCATTTACCAGACACGCCAATTATCAGACAACTTTGGATCAATCAGGCGTGACTGTGATTACAAACCTGGTTTTTCCCAGTGGCGTAATAGACCTGTCCCATAGACTAACGAGATGTTTTCATATTAGTGGTTAGTGGTATATTTTAACACTAATTATGAGTTTGTTACTTTTGTGCAGAAATACTTTGATCAGAATACTAATGTTTATTGACTTCGGCTTCTCACAGTTTGTGTTCATAATGTTCACTTTGATCAAAACAGGATTATAGATTTCCCCTGTAACTAATTGAGTTACTCCCAGCGGTACAATGGTGGATACGACGGGCTGTTGGGCTTCCTCTGCTCCCCCCTATGAATAACTGACAAGAAACTTGAAACCAAGATGGAGTAAACAGTTAAAACATAAACTCAATGAAGCTGCAGGTTTGCACCTTAACAATTAAAAAAATCAAAACAACACAAATATTTAATAAGAATAAATAACCATCACTAAGCTATCGATAGTCACACATTCTATTTATGGATCGATAATTTTTCATTTCCACCATCGATTAATTGCTTTCGGAATAATTGCAATTCATCGATAGTTTTATGCATCATTACAGCCCTATTAATTATATGGCTTAATATATTCTTAAGCACATAACTTTGGATCAATCCATTACCCAATAAAGGTAACAGTGCAGTGTACCTGCGTGCAACCAACCATAACTTATGTTGATTTGACGTGTCTTGGACGTCTATCTGATCGGAGGACACCAGAGAGTAAGTTGCATGCAATATTTTTAATATTGCCCTTGTGGATTGCCATTATGATTTGCACACATTATGTTTTGCAGACAGTGTACATCACTATCTATGTAATTGTATTATTGTTATGGAGCGGCATTGACACGCATGTTTATGTTTGTTTGCCAATCCCGTCATGATTACTTGAAGAAAACATGTTTAAACTATACATTGAACTATCCATAGTATTAATATGTAGTCTTTACATTAGGCAATGAGGAATACACAATATATTCAAGACTGAGTCTGATTTTACCTTTCTAAAAATTGTCAATATTTTTGCAACAGCCGAAAAGATTTACCTTGACCTCGTTATGTACAGGTCCGTGAATGTGGTGTCTCGGTATTTTAGAAACTATGTCGTTAAGACAGTTGAGAGTGTTGATCTGTATGCAGGGGGTTTTGTACAAAATATATGTCAGCCCGACGGTGAGTGTTCGCGATATACGAAATGTTAATGACAAATTATTAGTTTTCGTTTGAACTATCAACTTGTTTAAAAGTCTCGACAAGTTTAGCTTACCTGGATAATCAAGTCTAGCTTAGATCCAATGAGAGCGACTGGGAGGCTGTGTCTTCCGCCAATTCGCTTGAGGGACGAGGGTCGTGTGCAAAATATTGAGCATTGTCAGGGGATGACCTAAAAGTCGGGCCAAGAAAAGTCGGGCCGGGCCGGGCCACCGGGTAATACTAAAAATGGTTTGCAGAATATTAAAACGAAACCTGCACATTTGGGTCGATACACTTCCTGCCTTCACAAATGCATAGTTTGAAAATGTATAGTTAATGGTGAAAAAACCCACACAACAACAATGACTACATACCGAGATTCCCGTAGAAAAGACACCGTCTTGTTGTTATGTGTTTTCCTTGATATGTCTATGGGGGTTAGGTCTACTAATGCCTACAGTGAATAATGCCTACAGGGAATAATAGCTACAACGTTTGCAGTGACAGCGATACGCTTACCTGCACACAAGTAGATTGTTCCACTTAGTGTGCACTATTGCCTACAAAGGGATTAGGGGAGGCCAGCAAGGAGAGTAAAGAGTAAGATCAAGAGTATTAAATCGTTAGCTAGCTTATGTTTTGATAATTCCATACGCATTTAGTTCTCACACGAGAAGGAAATTGAAGAGTAAAGTAATTAATAGAGAGATTATTAAAGGGAGAAGGAAATGTATTGCTTTAAAATGCTTGTGATACAAATCTTCATTGCAAATCATGGCAAATCCCAAGAAAGTCGAATACTTCACATCACAGAAAGGAGGACAGCAGAATTCATCACTGCAGCAATACTCATGCAAAATCCAACAGCCAAAAAATTACACAACATTGCACGCAGAAACAAAATATACCACAAGAGTCTAGCCAGTCTCATCATAGCAGTTAAATCCCTTTCATAAACAACCCACCACTAAGCTACCCTAGCACTTAAAACCCTCCATTCAAAATTTCTGCCCCATCCATGGCTTATTATAATATCTTAGTCCAAATTACCGCAGCCATGGCTCTGATACAATGGAATTGCAACGGCCTCCGAGCAAACGGGCATGAGCTTAAGGCACTCATCGCCCAAAACAAAATCTCGCCCCAAATAATCTTCTTACAAGAGACAAAACTTTCACCAAAATTCGCCTTCAAAATCCCAGGCTACTATTATATCAGGAAAGATAGACCCCGGCCAATAAATTTCCCAGGTCCGCCAGCTGGGGGACTGGGAATATTCATTTCAAACAAACTCAATTATTCAGAAATTGACATTCCAACCTCTAACTTAGAAGTCCTGGCTATCAAAACTACAATAAATAATAAATTATTAACATTCATAAACATCTACAGAAGACCCTCTATTAAACTTATACCCCAAGATTTAGACAATATCGCAAAATTCTTAACGCCCAACACCTTTATCCTCGGGGACCTAAACTCTCACCATCCATTATGGGGCACAAAACCCTATACTGACAATAACGGCATTCTTCTATCTAACTGGCTAGACGACCACAACCTCATCACACTTAACGATAATCAACCCACCAGATACCCTCTTTCCCACGCCCAATCTCCAACTGCAATAGACCTTACAATCACCACCCCTACATACTCAAAAGCTTGCCTATGGGAGGTACATGCAGACACCTGGGGCAGTGACCACTGCCCCATCAAAACCACCATATCTACACTACTTACACCAGAGTCACAAACAAACCTCCATACTACCCCCACTTCTAGCGCCGAAATCAAATACAATGTACACAAAGCAGACTGGATTAAATTCACCAAACTCTGCAATCAAATCGACCCATCCAACATTATAAACACCGACACAGAAACCTTTAATTCACAGCTTACCAACACCATCATCGATATAACAAATACATGCATACCCACTTTTCGGACCACTCAAGCACAAAAAACAGTCCCATGGTGGAGCCAAGACATAATTAATGCCAGAAAGGCAAGAAAAAAGGCCCTCAATAAATCAAAGAGGGACCGTTCAAAACTACATTTAGCTAAAAAACTCAGAAATAACACAAAACAACTAATCCGGGCAGCAAAAAAGGAACATTGGAGAAAATTTTGCTCGACCCTGAGGCTAAATCAACATAACTCTAGAAAAATGTGGAAAAAATTTAAAGCCATACAGGGAAATTCCAAATCTATAATTCAACCTAACCTTCCGAACCTCCCCACAAATAAAGATAAAGCTAATGCTGTTGCTGCCCACTTCTCGGACACTAGTAGCTCCACCAACTACACAGCAAACTTTCAAAATACCATTAAAAATCACCCACCCTACTCACCTGAACCACCCCACTCACATCTACCTATAAACAAAAACATAAACATTCACGAACTTAAGGCAGCTTTAAAACATAAAAAAAACAGCCTCAGCCCCTGGTCCAGATAACATTACATACACCATACTCAACAAACTTCCACCAAACATCCTAAACTTAACACTCACTCTATTCAACCATATCTGGACCACAGGAAACATACCATCTTCATGGAAAACAGCCAAGGTGGTGCAAATCCTAAAGCCAGGGAAACCCATTAACTCCCCAGATTCATTTCGACCCATTTCCCTTACCTCACATTTATGTAAAACACTAGAGTCTATAGTAAACAATAGACTAAAACACCAAATTCAAACCCATAACCTAATTAAGCAGGACCAGAGTGGCTTCACTCCAAATAGGCAAACTTTGGATCACATTTTACATTTGGAACAAGATATAAAGGTAGCCCAAGCACAAAAACAACACACGCTGGCCATTTTTATAGACTTCAGCAAAGCTTTCGACATGATCTGGCACAACGGCCTAATCCAAAAACTACAAGAAAAAGACATACACGGGCGGATTCTAAATTTCATTCAAGCATTTCTTAATAACAGACAAATAATAGTCAAATCTCACAACACTGTCTCGGACCCCTTTCCACTAGAAAATGGAACCCCCCAAGGGAGCATAATCTCCCCAACACTATTCAATTTTATGATTAATGACATTTTTCCGGACAAGTGGCCAGAAATTTCTACTGCAAAATTTGCTGATGACATCTCATTTTGGACATCATCTACCTCAGGAAACCAAGCCACAATCAAAACTCAAAGAATGCTAAACCACATCCAAAACTGGGCCCAAAAATGGGGGTTCCACATTAACGTTAAAAAACCCGTGGGCATCCTATTCAAAAAACAAAGAATGCAAAATTATACACCCAAACTTCATCTCAACAACCAAGAAATCAAGTTCGAAAAAGAGGCAAAATTCCTAGGTGTAACTTTCGACCAACACATGACATGGACACCCCACATTAATAACCTGGTCAATTCATGCCAAAAGATCTAAATCTCATGCGAGCCATCAGCGGCACAAACTGGGAGCCGACAAACAAACACTTATTAGTATATACAAAACTCTGATACAGTCTAGACTGGACTATGCTGCTCCGGTCCTCCACTCTATCTCCCCAACCAACCTCCAAAACTCAATTCAATACAGTATAAAGCCCTTAAACAAGCCCTAGGCACTAGGACTGGTACCTCCCACAACACTCTCCTCCTACTCACAGGCATCCCTTCAATCAAAACACGAATAAATCAAACTGCACTTCAATTACTGGGCTGGGGCCCAACACAACCCAATCTACAAACTTATCACAACTAAATACACAAACATTAAAAATCCACTATCAAAAAATTTAAAACAACCCAAACAAAGCCCCCTACTCACTCACCTCAACAGTCTGCTTCACTCACACCACCTAAACACCATCCAACACACACCTCCCATAACAAGCTACATTCATGACAAACCCCCACCCCCTACAGATACCACCCTAGTAGAAACACTCCAAAATCTCCCTAAATCCACAGACACTCAAACCAAAACAAACCTCATCCAAACCCACATCAACCTAAATTATCCCAACCATACCCAGATATATACAGACGCCTCAATCGGCACAAACAAACGCATAGGCATAGGCATCCATGTAAACCAAACACCCCCACTAACAACAAACCTCCACTATACAAACCACACAAACATTAACACAGCAGAACTCACAGCAATTCTAACAGCGCTTCACCTCATCCCCACTATGCCCCACACCAACATCTTATTACTTACAGACTCTCTCAGCGCCGTCAAACAACTTCAACACAAGCACTCAAAAGCACGTAACGACTTAATACACAACATAATTATACAAACCGAGTCACTCCAACAACTAAATAAAAACATAACACTAATGTGGATTCCAGCTCATACACACAACCAAGGAAATAACACAGCAGACATAGCAGCCAAACTAGCCACCACACAAAACTCCCCACCCATTCAATTTCACACATCCAAAACCGAAATAAAACAACTCATCAAACACCACATAATCAACCAAAACTACCAACACAACCTTAACACAAATAAATCCACCTGGGTCAAAGCAATCATAACTAAACCTATCACCAAAACACTCACCTACTCAAGCAACAAACACATGGACACACTCATCACAAGATTAATCACTGGCATCACAAACCTAAACCATCCATTATTCAAACAAAACAGACACCCAGATGGATTATGTACTCATTGCAATCAACCTGAAACCATTGAACACATATTCACACACTGCCACCTCCAACAAACAAACATCACACAACTACACACCAGCATTCCAAGTAAATATCACAACAACATACAGCTACTTTTAAATCCTTTTAACCCGTCAAATATATTTCATGCCATAGCCACCTTTATCCAAAACTCAAATTTAATAAATAAAATTTAGAACCTCCCAAACAATCCTCATCATACTACCTCTCAATAGCCTATATATTTAGACCAGGCACCCAAATTTCACTTCTCTATACTTAAACTCTATCACCAACATAAGCCTGCTCATTTAGACCTGGGAAACCAAATCATCTATTTACAGTTGTCTTATTTCTGCTAAAAGGTCCGCGCCTCTCCCAGCCAATCAGCAACCACTAATACGTAAACAAACCTAGCTCCAGCCCTCGTGTACAAAGGTCACGACCCTCAATCCAAGCCAGCTCGCCAACAGACCCATTACCACCCACACGGCCTTTGCCTTATCGTCTCCTCAC